CCAAAGTATATGTAGTGAGTTCATGTGCATACATACATATGTGTGTGTGTGTATATTGTTCTTCATAAGAAGTTACATATTGTTGGATAAGCAGATAAGGTGAGAAGAGGGTGAGAAAAGTACCACAGCATATTTATAGTCCAGAGAGTGCATCTACTCATCAGGAGATTTGATTGTAAATGTGAATTCTTTTTCAGAAATTAAATTTTTCTTAAAAGATGTTAACATATTGACTACTAACACAAAAACAATATCGGGTCATGTTCACTATTTTTTTTTTTTTAAATATTTAGTAAAAGAATACATTAGATAGTAACGAAAGTTTTTTTTAGTGCTAATATATTTGGAGAAAATGGCTGCTAAAGTTTTAACCTAACCTCAGAAGCCATGTCACCAGCTTGTAATGATGGCTACTTTCTTGTTTACATAATATTCTTTTACAGAGTTTCTAAATGATATAAAACATTATTTTCTAACAGATGATTCATAGCAAATAAGGAATCAGTATTATGTGCTGTAAATGTGATTTGCATTTATTCTATAATTATGGCTGTGTCACCATATATTGGTGACAAATATTAATATCTTTTTTCTTTCTTTCTGCAAAAACCTATTCTTACTTGAGCTTTGTTTTTTATATTTACTCTATATTTAGAAAGTCTTCAAGTAAATGTTAAGAGAACCAGAGTGCCAGATACATTTTACCAAAATTTCACAGGAAGCCACAGACTTTGCTTTATATATAGAAATATGTGTAGCGTGTCTCCAACATTTGGCAAAGCAACTTAAAATGAAAATATAAACATCACAAGAATCTGGAGATGCTCCATAAACTGAAATACCATGTCACCAATATATGGTGACATGGCAGTCAACATGCTAATTAATTTTCCTTAAAAACAATAATTGATTATATAAATTTATTTGAATTTGTTCTTCCTTAAATGTCATTATGTTATGATGTAAAATTATTTGAAAATGTTCTGTTATATATAATTTTTTTGCATAGTCAGGAATTAGATATTAATAGCCAAATATTTCTATTTTGGATAGGGATGGGTGTAAAGGTTTGTTTTTTTTTTATTATTATTTTTTTTTTTTTTTTTTTTTTTTTTTCATCTGCTTGACCCATTGGGTTTACCAAATGTATATGTGCAGCCTTAGATATAGATACAGATATTTACCCAAAAACTTACAAAAAATAAAAATAATAAATGTTTGGAAGAAGTTGGAAAAGCATAAAATAAAATTTTCTTTTATAGAAGAAGAACATGCCAACATAATGTAGAAATGTGCTACATGTATTCTCCCCAACCCTAAAAAGGAAAACTAGTGAATACCACAAATGTTTGTATTTGCTTGCAAGTCTTAATATGTCATATTGCAACAGGCTGTGTTTTTAGGAAGGCATTTTCTCCTCACAGTGTCTACCCAAAGCTGTCCTCTGTACAGACTAAGCTTCACCGATTGGCTGTTAAAGGTCATACGACTGGCTAAGCACAGTGTATGTAAATGAGGAGAAGGAAAGTTAACCTAACAGTCTGTTGACCTAAAGAGTTTTTAGTCTATTACATTATCTTTCCCTGTAACTTGAATTGCTTCGTACAAGCTAATGTTTATTTCTCCAGCAATGGCCTCTAAATTGCACTTACCTTTCACAGATCATGTCTATAATCTTTGTTAAGTTCTTATATAGTTCTTCATTGAACATATACTGTTTCCAGCTGATATTTACTACTCACAGTAGTCAAGTAGCAGCTTGGATTGAGAAATTGGAGAGCCGAGTTCGAATTCCAGCCAGATCCATTACATTCACTTATGTGCTAATACCCTTGGGAAAGGCATGAATCCTCTTCTTCTCTCCCCCCCCAGCTATGGGTAAATATCAGAACAGACCGAGTTCTATAGCCTTGGATGGCAACTGGTCTACTGCAGAAAGAAATGGCAACCTACTGCGGGAAAAAAAAATTTGCCTTGTCAGTCATGTATCGAAAGATATATGATCGCTTAAGCATGTATGACAGATGACACATAACTGATGTAATGTGTACATTTTTTGACAGAGATTTTGTTAATGTCCAACTGCTTGACCAATATAAAAAGACTTTTGCTGTAGTTGATGTAAAGAGTTGCAACTTTCAAATATTTTTTTTTTAATTTTTAACTTTCAGATGCAATTTTTTATTTTCATTGTTGCATCCATTTTATTGAAGTTTTAGTATCTATGCCTTTTTTTTTTTTAGTATCTATGTCTTTTTGTGTGCATTTCAACCAAGATACTGGACATAAAAAAATCCATTTAATTTAGATTGCTACATTTGAATGACCTATTTCTGCTTCATTATATTATAAAATGAACTCTCTGATTTTGTTCTTTTCTCTTTTACAGATTCTTTATGCTTTGGACCATGAGGTGTTAACAAACAAACAAAACTTGTCCACCAAACTGGAACAGGTTATTTGCATGATTGAGGGCCAACCAAAAATGGCCTATCTGTGAAATTACCAAAGTCATCCTATCTGACTAGCAACCTGGCTAACATGTGTAATTTACCATATAACTCCTAACTAGTGACAAAAGACTCAGAAAAATCTTCGGAGTCAGTGGTCTGCAAGAGATCCACTCTAACACTTACGAAACACTGAGAAATTTATGCAAAAAAAAAAAAAAGAAAAAAAGAAAAGAAAAAAAAGAGAATTATAAACTCTAATTGCAGACTGTCAACCTGTGTTGGTGACAGATGACGAACAAAAAAAAAAACAACGATGATGAGTTTTCCAAAACGATAAATGCCAACAAACACACAATAATATTTTTACCAGCTGATATATAAGTCAATCAGCTTATGCAAAATATTTAAAAAAAAAAAAAAAAAAAATAAAAACTCTGTTTAAAAAAAAAAAAAAAATAAACAAAGGTGGAATAAGAAGAAAATTAAGACATAAGAAAACAAATAATAAATGGTTCTATTTGTAAACAACAAGGTAATAGTGGTGACTAATATACTAAGAGAAATCAGTCAAAAACAAAAAGCAGGATGTTGTATTAGTAATGTCAACAAAAGAAATAATCAACATTGTGATCTCTTTTCTATGAAGACTGGGGCATTAATATCTTATTAACATAGTTACATTAAATATAGCAGTAAAATTATGAGCTAAAAAGAGAGAAAGCTTTTAGCACTATGAATATTATTTAAGAATGAACAATACTTAATAAAAAGAAAAAATATGCTGCTATTTTCAAGGGTAAAAAAAAAAAATGTTCAAAGTGGTCTTCAAAAAGAATGCATTGTTATCCACACTTAAATTTCAGTGGAGGAATTTTTAAAAGTGAAATAATACAACTTGGGAAATTCTTCAAATAATGGTCCACCTAAGTTTTGTTCTATTTTTTTTTTTAAATTCACTAATCTATTATTTTCTGGTTGATTAGACATTATTCCTCAAATAATCTGCCATTCTTATAATTGAATGCACCAGCCAGAAATATGCTTTTACAAGAATGGCTGTTGTGTGTAAGTAGGATTAAAATTATAAAAAAAAAAAAATAGCGATATACAAAAAAAAGGACAACTTAATGAATCAAAAATGAAGCCCACCAAATCCAGGGTGCTAGTGCCATATTAAAGATAATATTGATCTTCTCTGATTTCCACCCCAAACCCATGGTTAAAAACTAAAATACAATATAATCACAAAATTGCAGGAAAAAAGGGCAAATTATCTTCTCCACCATAAAACACTGCAGACTGTTTTAAACATTGAGTTTTGACAATAATTTTCATTCTTTGTTTTATTTTCTTTCTATGTTTGGGAAATTTTAAAGGGGATAGTCTTTTCCTTATTACTATTTTTTCTCCCCCTTTTTTTCTCCCCTTTTTTCCTGTAATTGATGGGGTTTCTTGCCAGATCATCACAGTAACAGAAATTTTTATTTTATTTATCTTTTTTTTCTTTTTTTTTTTTGGTGAGAGTGGGGATAATTTCAGCAACAAGTCTCAATGGGGAGCCTCTGCATGTCTTGGATTGAGATGGAGGGGTATGGAGACAGGGCGGGGTGGGGGTGTTCATTCCAGAATGTAAGAGACAAATTATTTTTACTTTATCCATTCCAATTCCCTGAGACGATTCAGTTAGAGGTGAAAAATGGAAAAATAAAAAAAATAAAAATATATATATATATACAACATTAAGAAAAGAAAGAAAGAAAATATATTGTCCATCTATCTCAACTTTCTTTTAAAAAAAAAAAAAAATTATGATGAAAAATCGACTTAAATTTCTTTTTCCAAATTTGCTTCACTCTGCTGTTCTGTAAATACTCCCTACCTTGGGTTTGAACTAAATTTATTACCAACAACAAATCACCAGAACTGGATCTTTATATCATTGTTGCATGAATAAGGGTGGTACAGAGGAGATGTAAGGTGTTGGGGTATTGCTTCCTGGTACAATTCCGCAAATGGCGTTGGTGGACTATGAACAATATTTCAATAATAACAACAGCAACAACCTGGGACTGCTTTTCAGTTTTCAATATGGAAAAAGAGGATGAAAAATTTTGCTAATTAACCAAAATTAGACTGAGCATTTTAAAGAAAAAAAAAGAACATGGAAAGAACAAAAACAAAATATAATAAAGGGAAATAACCCAATTTTGATCATACAGACATCAAATTCAAACCCCAAATATTAAAAAAAAAATGGAAGTAAACCAAAAAAAAAAAAAGAGAAAGAAAGAAAAAATCTGAATGGACAGAAGTTATTGGTTTTATATTACCACAAAGATTGAAAAAAAAGACAAGTGACACTTTGAAAAAGAACTGTAACTGACTTCTGAAGAAGAAATGAAAGAACTGTGAAAGAAAAAAAAAGAAAGAATTTGTTCTGAAAAGTAATTTGTCTATTAGATATTAATCAGCTAAGCTCTAAAAAGATTCTTGCTTTGTTTATGAAAATGTCGAAAGACTTATAGCCATTAAGGAAATCTCAAAAGGATGAATTTTTGATTTCTTAAATGGCTATGAACATTTCACAAGTCAATAACAATATGAATGTTAAAAAAAATTGTTCCATTTTTCTTATTGCTCACACACCAAAAAATATAACAATTGAAAACAAAACCCTGTATATGAAAAATATATCAAAATACTTGCCTATAGTTTTTAGATGTGAAACAAAAAAATCTCTAAAAAAAAAAAACAAAAGCCAATCAAAAATGACAAAAAAAAATGTGGTATCTTGTTTTCAACCATGAATAATTTTGTTTATTCTAATTATTTCTGTCAAGACAAAAAAAATGATGGGAAATTATTTTTGAACAAAGAAACTGAAAAAAAAATCAACAAAGAAAAAAAATCATTCAAATAAATAAATAAAAACCCCTTTAAAAAAAATAAATCTTTTTTTCTGCTTACCTATATAACTATGAAAAAAAAATTAGGAATTTTTTTCTTTTACTACCTTTGTCCCAGAGTAGATGTTACACTTGCATACACATTTCATAGTGTAAATATAACAACTATTATGGGACAGAGGTAGAATCATTTTTGTTTTGTATGGAGAAATGAAACAAGAAAATTCAATTCTCTTTATAAAAGCTGAAATTCACAAGAGCGAAAAATTTGTTATTTTTCTTTTTTTTTTTTAAACTTTTTAAAAAAATTTTTTATAATTTGGTTTATATTTTTAAAAAAAAGCAGTCTAAGAAATTGAGAAACATAAATGTTAAGAAAGCCTAAACAATTTCACGATGTCTACAAAAAGCAACAACAGCAAAAAGAACTAAAAAAAAACTATAATAACATTTCTAGCCATTTTTATTATTAAAATGTTTTGATAATATAATTTCTTTAACTGACTTATCCGTCTCATCCATCCATCTAAGATTTAAAAAAAAAATACAAAAATCTCTGTGAGCTTAAGGAACTGGGAACACAATAATGTTGTACATACTTCTTGGTAGGTTGTAAGAGTTAGACTTGTTAATGTGGAAATGAAAGAAAAGAAAAAAAAAATTGAAAAAAAAAAAATAGAGTTCACAACAATGAAAAAAAAAAAAAACCTACAAATGAAATTAATAAAATGATTTTAATATCTGAAGAACAAATCTGACAACCAAAAGAAGAAAGAAAAGAATTATATATATAATGAATAAATAAATGATAAATAAATTTTTAAAAATAACCACTGAAATGTGTTGTAACAAAATTATTATACTTCACAATGGACCTTTCACTGATATTCATTCAATCAAGATGTAAGTAAAAAAAAAAAAAAAAAAAAAAAAAAAGAGGGAGAAAATGCTTGGTATCTCGTAAGACTATCATGGAAGATGGTCCCCAAAAAAGAAAGAAGAAATTCACCAGTTTCAGAGTTTTGTATAAAAAAACAAAAAATTATAGAAAATGCCAGAAAATAATTGTTCTTCATGTTTTTTCCACTTACAACTTATTATAAATTTCTGGCATTATTCTTAACTAAATACAGTTTTATGCCTCTGAATTTACAGTGAATAACATGACTTTTCAGCCAAAGTTTTGTGGGAGAGAAAGAAAAGAATTGAAAAAATATATAGCCTTGCCAATGTTGGTTCTGCACAAATTGCATAGTGAATGCTAATAATTGCATGTGAATGCTAATAAATGAAAGAAAAATGTTCTAAGCAGTCAATCTTGCCAGTTATAGTAACCAAATATGATATATATATATATATATATATATATATATATATATATATATAAAATAAAAAAATATAAAAAAATGTGGTATTTTACTTTATTTTATTTCATTTCATTTTAATCTAATGAATATTCATGCACATGCTTGTGTTTTGTGGGCAATGACTTCCCCATTCTCCCCCTCATTGGAGGAGGGATGGTAGTAGTCACTGTTTACTAGTATATATACTGGTGGGATAATGGAACTGACTTCATTTTAAGCACTGATGGGTTATTTTGCTGCTCAATCACCATGAAACCTTTAGTCACATATATGCAAAAAACATAACATTACACACAGACACACACACACACACATATATATAAATAAATGATATACAAATATACCAGGCTAATATGGAGTAAGCGAATGATAAAATGGCAGTCACATGTTTTTTTTTCTTAGAAAGCACCTCAGACTAATTCCGTTTTTATCAATCAAATCTGTCTTATATAGGGGCAAAGGTTGTGGGATGAATGTAAAATTCTAACTAGCATTTGTTGCATTTCTCATCCTACTTCCATCACCATTCATATATATGTGTGTGTGTTTGAAAAATTGAATATGCAAATGGAGTCTTTAAGAATATTTATTTAGTGTAACTTTACCAGTTTCACATTTCTATCATATTCAAAAGTTAAATTAAGATAGATCTGTGGCTATGTGAGACTTACCCTGGTATAACCATATGTCTCCCCATCTCAATTTAACTTTTGTAAATCATAGAACTGTGAAACTCTAAATAAATATTTTTAAAGACTCCAGTTGCATTTTTTT